GCTGCGGTGGGTTCCCGCCCGCTTTCTGCGAGGCCGCCGCCTCCCCAGGGCTGCGTGTGCCGCGGCCGGCAGCTCTGGGGGCCGGGGCTGCGCGGTTTCCCACAGAAAGACGGAGGCCCGGTTGCTGGCTTTCCGCACCGGCAGCCTCCCGAGGTCTCGCTACGGGAAGCGTTGCCGCACTTCTGGCAAAGTTGGGATGTAAGCAAGCTTCTAGGAGGCCACAGCGGCCTCCTAGAAACTGAGAATACCTGCTCTGTAACTCTCCAGTCAAACCTTCAGGAAGAATTGCTGGTGTACCGTTTTATGCACCTGAAGATTTATGTAGGTGCAGTATTTCAGAGACACCCAGCATATAACCACCTGCTGTGAAAAAGAACAAATGTAGCCACTTGATTTTATTTTGTAGGATTGAAGCAGCTCGATGCCCAGATGTGGTTGTGGCACAAATAGACCCCAAAAAATTGAGAAAGAAGCAGACAGTAAGCATTTCAGTAAGTTTGAGAGCTTTTACATGTTTCCTTCTTAGAGAAAAAAAAATATAAGGGGAAAGATCTTAATATTATGCTTGTACTAATTTGGGGGAGCGGTAGGCATAACTAAATAGCACTACTGGATTTTAACAGCATCTACAGAATTAAATATGTTTGGGTTTGGAGAAACACCTGTTCAACTGCTGGCGAACAGCAGTCTAACTGATTTAATTTGACAATATCCATACTATTTGATACACAGCAGACTGTTTTACTGTCTGAGGAAATCAAATGTTGTGTTAAATTTTACAAATATTTAGTTGTAAAACCTGCATAAACTTTAGAAGAAAATTATCTCCATGCCTATATTTAGGTTTAAATATATATCTAGGGTCAGGATAGTAAGTGCAGCTTTACTAAAGTTTATATTAAATTCTAGCACCACTTTTTTCCTTTTTGTTGGAATATTTCATTGGAATTTTTCCTAACTGCCCAAGCAGATTTTTCTGTTGGCACATTGCCCTGCCAGCTTGGTTTATAATCTACTTTCAAATAGTTCAAGAGACCAAATTTGCTATTTTCTAGTGAAAACTTTGTAATCTGAATTTCACTACTAGATTGCTCAAGGAAGGTTTCTAGTACTGACATACCACCGTGTGACTTCTGTGACCATTCTCTTCCTTGGTCTCATCTCTTTGTAGTGGCATTCTTAAACTATTTGTAAAAGGGGTGGTCTTTTTTTTTTAATAACTTTTTTATGCTAATCTTTAAAGAGGCTTTATCTAGTAAAATGTCAGAATTAATTTCCTATAAGTTATTTTTATGGTCCTCTGTCTTCAACCTATTATCTTGGCAAGTAGAATGCCTAAGATTCATGGCACCTGGCCAAGAGAAGGAAATAACACCCTGCTTTTTATAAATGGGGAAATTAAGAACAACTGCTAAAAAGATGACCTTAAATAATTCTTTGGCAATGTATTTTGAATACATAGTTTTTGTTCTTATTTGCATGTGAGAAGAGTCAGATAGAAGAAATTTTGTCTAAACCGTTATGTCAGTCTTGGATGCGGTAATGAAATTACCTTTCTCAAATGAAGATTTAAAGGATATTCTTTACCTGACACTTACTCATTCTTTTGTTCATAAGGATTCTTCTTATAAAGCTTTCTTTACATTGTAATTATTGCCAGTGTTTTCTTAGATTTCTGGATGTCAGCCTGCTCCTGAAGGATACTCTCCAACGCTCAAGTGGCAGCAGCAGCAAGTGGCCCATTTCTCAGCTGTTCGTCAGGTACAAAATGGTGTGTGTGAGGGGACTTGCACTGTTCTAGATAGAACACATCTGTGCTTTATGTGGCACAACCTTATATCTAGTGTAGAAATGTTATGACTTTATGGTAAGGACAGATGTTTGTAGGCAAATGTTTTAAGTATATAACTGAGTATATACTGTGTGGCTTTTAAACCTCTGATAAAACTCTTGAATCACGTTTTAAAAACAATTTCTCCTTCAACTTTAGAAAAAAATATGTTGGCACTTAAATGAGAGTAGCTGAGGGAGGACAAAAATCATTGTGATGTTAGTGTTGGCACAGACTTAAACCTTTCCTAGTGCATTTGCACCCTGCTCTTAAATAACAAAAATGGAGAACTGAGCAGTCTCTCTATCCACAGTTAAACAGGGTGAAAAGCAAAACATAAGAGATGTAGGTAGAGATTGTTTATGACATGAGTACTGCGAAAGGCATGTTTACAGGGCATTGATACTGCATTGTAGGAATACCTCAAGTAACTAAAGTATAACCTACTGCCCTGAAGCTGCTGTAGCCCTGAACTTTGCATGAGCTCATTTACCCTGTTTTTTCAGGGAGGTAAATCAGTGAAGGTGGAGATCTGTACTACTGCAAACATTATCTGAGCTAGCCCCTATTTCTACAAGGTGTCACATTGAATACTGTATATTGGGTATAATCTAAGGTTTTAGTAGAACTAAGGAAACTGACATCTAAAGCCATATTCACTTCTAAAAAAATCAATTGTCCTCTCATCTGTGCCAGAATTAACATGAGAATATCCTAAAAAATGTTTCAGGGGAAAAACATCAGTAGTCACTTGTTCAAACACTATGCATCAGCTGCTGCTAGCTTACTTCTATCATATTTAGTGGTCATTTTTATTGCTACAATAACAACAGAATGGGGGGAAAACATCTTCTGTTACAAAACGTTTACACCTCTGTACAGGAAATTGTCGAGCAGGCCAATTTGTGTTATACAGCATCCCTGTATATTGCCTTCTTTCTCACCGTTCTGTAGACATCTGATATAGATGCAGACCACTGTTGGAAACAGGATATTGGCTTTATGTGTGCTTTTGGACTAAAAGCTTCTTAAACTAAGAAAAGTCTATTAAAGCTTACTACCTCAACATTATACAGTAGACTTAAAACGCCTTCAGCTTTAATGTTACTTCCAAAAAGCCAACATGAGCAACTTAGTTACATTTATACTAAGAGGCATGGGAAATATTTAGCCAGTTATGCTTCTACTGATTTATAGAACATCATAAAATACACTTTTTGTATGTTTTAAGAACAGTGAAGAACAATTAGGGCTAGGATAAAATAACTGCAAAATTAAACTGATTTGGCTTTGTTTTAATTACTCAGAGTCTGAACAAGCACAGAAATCACTGGCGGTCACAGCATTTGGACAGTAATGTTACTATGGTGAGTAAAATCAGTAACAGTGCTGTGGGCCTTTTTTTCCAATCATTAAATCTGTGGTTAATCTTGCTTTACAGCTTAATGCAACAACTCATGAATATTATCAAGTCTTTTTTTCAGTGTTTTCAAGATAGCAATACTTAACAGTTTTCATTTATTTACTTCAGCCAAAATCAGAGGATGAAGAAGGCTGGAAGAAATTCTGCCTGGGTGAAAGAGTATACTCAGAAACAGATGCACTATCTGATAATGAAAATCTAGGAATTGATTACATAAAGGTGAGTGTAGGACTTCTATCTAACTTTCAGCAGCTATTTTCAAGAATAACTGCCACAATAAACAGAAAGTGGGATCTCTGGTGAGCCCAGGAAGTCCAATTTCTCTTCCCTTTTAAATGGAAACTGAAGCAGAGAACAAGTCTGTTCCTGCAGTCAAAAAGTTGAGTTCTTTCATCTGTTATCAGCTGAAGTGCACTACTTTGTTGCTTGCTGAACGGAATGCAAAGCTTTCTGCATAGTCTGCTTTCGTGTTTTGTTGAATGGTGGGTAGTATGTGGCTCCTCCGCTCATATATGCTATCCTGCAAACATGCCCTTCGCTGCATCATTTTGAAAAAACAAAGCTTTTAACAAGTTAACAGTAAAAGCAAGGTTCCTTGATACCAAACTTGACTGGACCTTATCTTGAACTTGCTTGAACACTTTTTTCTTAATACATTTCAAAGCTCAGAACAGACTTTCTAATCACTACACATCTGAACATCACATTAAAATGTCAGTACACTCTAAATTAGAACAAAAATGTTCATGGTAACGTCTGTATTGTCCAACTTGATTTTTTTTCAGGTGGGCTTTCCCCCTTTGCTAAGTATTGTAAGCAGAATGAATCAGGTAAGCCTACTTAGAATCATACAGTGACATGGCATAAATAATTATTGCTCATATTCTATCTGTTGCAGAAGTCTTTATCTGTTTTTCTTTGCTAGAGTAGGCAGTTGTTTACTACAGCTGCTATTCATTGTACAGTTAAAAACATATAATCATTGGCTCACTTTCAGCTTTACTAGTCAACATTTATCATGACTAGTTTTAAGAGTATTTTGTCCTTGTAATTTCTGTATAGAACATCCAACGTTTGAATTTTTGCTGAATGCCCCATTAGGTGCCTGACAGTGTTTTAAGATTTCTCATTTAGTGTTTTAAGTGCAGTCCTTCAAATTGATTGTGAACTCTTACCTACACTGCAAGACTAGAAGAATCACACTTACCTTTCCTTTACTACTATGTTTCCTACTAGTCACCTTTATACAGAAACAACCAGCAAGCATGATGCCTCTTTTCTAATCTGTAGCTACTTATCCATAACTTCTTGTTAATACAGAAAATTACTTAATTTTCTATAAAGTTCTTTCCAGGGACTGGTGCTTTAACAGTTATTTTACCCTTACATATAACTTCAACCTGGATAAATGCCATATAGTATCAGTGGAGTAGAAATACATAATGTGTATTCTTTTAAAAAATCGTATTGCTTTTTATGTAGTACTCTCCTTTGGGTAGAAGGACAGCAAAACAAAACATTGCAGGTATTGTATTGTCTCTTTCTGTTCCTCTTTTATAGGCAACAGTAACCAGTGTGTTAGAATACCTGATAAGCTGGTTTGGAGAGAAAAAATTTACTCCAGAACTGGTAATTTTTTATTTATTCTAACTACTTGTACATGAATGCAGTAAACAAGGGATAAATTGTTCATAGTTCTCTATGAAATTTTTAGTTTCTAAAGAGTTCTCTAGGTGTGTGTATCATTCAGTTACTTTCAAAACTTTAGATACTAAAATGAGTATTCACAGCACTTTTTGGAAGGCTCATTACAAAACGTAACACAGATCTATCAAGTACTGCCAAAACTCATGCCCCTTTTTATCATCCCCGTGCTAACTTAAACCACAGGGTTGGATGAGTATCAGCCCTGTGAAAAGGACGGTCAGACTGCAGCAGCTTTGGTTCTGACCAGTTTTAAGCTGTCAGGGTGCTGCACCCTGTATTTACCAACACCTCCGTTTTAGTTTAGAGATGTATGACAGTCTGGTGGCAAAGACACATTTCATCTTTCCACATGCAGCACAACCAGAAAGCTTAGCTGTATTAGTGTGGTGACAAATCAAACCTAGTAAGAAATTCTGATTGACAGGGAACATAAGCATGGAGTCTGGCCACAACTAGACTGATGAGCTGGGTAAGGACCTTGGATGCATCTCATCTCATTCAGTACCACAAAGCAAAAGAGGAATGAATTACTTCCATAATACTAAACACAGTTTCACTGTTTGAGTCACTTAAAGGCCTTTCATGTTCTGTCCTTTTCTGTAGGACTGTCTTCATTTTAACCATCATGCTGCAGAGAATGTGCACATTGACTTTTAGTTTATTCCAATAACAAAAGCCACAAGACTCTGGGATTAAATTAATAAGTTAAACTGGTGGCAGAAGTTCTGTTTCTAAGAATGCAGTAGAATTCAGTGAAGTAAAATGCAAAGGATATGTTTTCACAGTAGTGCAAATCTTAAATCTGCTCTAACCACATCAATTCCACAAAGATCTGATTTGATACATTCACTCTTCAGGAATGTTTTTCCACAGGTGGTGAAGTTAAACATTAATAGCTAAGTAATAATCTTTAGATATTACTAAAATAATCCTTCCCTCAGACTTAATTAGTGTAAACTGTATCAGTTTATATGTTGACCAGTATTCCAAAAAATACCAGGAAGTCCAGGAGTACTGCTCACAAGCAGCTTATCTAGAGGCACAGAATTCTATTATTTATAGCATCAAATTTGGCTTTCAAGCTTTTAAATTCTAGCAGTAGCTCTTAAATGCAATTTTGTTTCGAGACCTACACTCTAGGCCTGCTCTATGTAACAAGAATAGCATAAAATTTCAAGGAAATGCTCATAATTAAAACTTTCTTATTTGATTCCACACAGGGTAGATGGCTTTATGCACTTTTGGCATGTCTTGAAAAACCTTTGCTACCTGAAGCTCACTCCCTTATTCGACAGCTGGCAAGACGATGCTCAGAAGTCAGAGTACTAGAGGTAAGATTTAATATAGCATTGTGCAAAGGACTTGCTGAACTTGGCACATTATTATGAGGATCATTTTTCAGTTCTTGAAATCCTGGTAAGTAATTTTGCACATCCTAAGTTTGCTCAAGAATGAAGAGAAGATTACAAGTATAACATGGCATGTAACAGCTTTTCTATTTGACACAGGTAAATAATTTATTTCTCTTTCAGGAGAACAGGAATGAAGAACAAATATCAGCTCTGAACTTGATAATCTGCTTAGTTAGCAGGTAATGCAACTTACATGTCTAAAACAGTAAAGTATGTCCAGAAAAAAATGTGTCATTACTCTTGTCCTAACCTGGATTTTTTTAAAGTGGAAGTCAATTAAAGTACCCTGGGCCTGTGTAGCAAATATACTTGGCTAAAAGGACTTAAACTGAAGTGTAAAGCAAGCTTATTGGTTACCTCAGAGGAGGCCCCTGAACTGCAAAACCATAATTAGTGATAGAAACACTGAGAGAAGAGCTAGAAAGCAAGGGGTTTAACAACTCTGAGCAAAGTAAGGAGTTATGTTCCATTAGAGATTTCTTATGTTTTCCACTTCTCTCCACTAGGTACTTTGATCAGCGTGACTTGGCTGATGAACCTTCCTAGACTGCTTTGAGAATACCAAGTATTTTACGTTGCCATAGTACAAACAGAATTACCACAGTTAACAGCAAGACAGTGCGCTTCAGGTTCAGACCTGAAGTACTACATAAGCCTTTCAGAACACCCTCAGGATAATGCATTTGGGATAGCTATAAATAACTTAATCTGAGCTTCAGCATGAGATTGTCGATGTCTGATACCATCATCGTAAAATGGTCAGTGAAATGTCTGGCATCATCTCTCAAGCTCTTGTCTCTGTAAACTACTTTCTTGGTTAGAAATTTCTACCACCCGAGTTAACTGTGGACACTGCTATTAGGTGAAGTCTGAGGCTACATTACAATTTATTGTTCTTTATCTAACACACACCTATTGAGGGCTTTTTTAATAAAAATGAAACATTAAACACTGTGGCTTTTCTCATTCTTCACACTATTTAACAGCAGCCTTAACTATAGATATCATAAGCACTGCTAAGCAATTCAACTATAGCCAGTAAGTTACTGAAATAATTATTTTTAGTAAAACAAACATTAGTATTTCCCAAGTAGTCATAGTGGTTTTTAGTAAACAGTTGCAGAAACCAGTGAAAATTACACAGCTGTATTCAGTGCTTTTAATAGAAACATTAATTACATAGAATGAACCAGCTTATTTTTTGTATGGTATCTTGACAAATATATTGGCTCACCTATTTATATATTTAATTTAATGTGGAGTGCTTTGCCAAGACTATTAGCATTAGAACCAGAGGGAGTCCAGTATCTTCAATAATTAAAAATCCATGTTGAAGGAACTATGAATTCTGCTGATAGCAACAAACTGATACACAGCATTAATTGATATTCTGCAATATACAGAGAGCAGATGTAAGTCCCTCCCCTCACTATTAAAGGTAATAATTTACCACAACCAGTTATTGATGAACCTTTAATATGTCTTTTGAATGATTGACACTTTTGTATCTGGAATGGCAGTCTTAACAGTCAAGTGAAAATTCAAAGTGAATTACAGTAACTACTAGTTTTAATTCTGGCACTGAAAGTAACAATGATTCTGTATATGTTGATACTGAATGTCTACCATGTTGCAAATGCCTAAAATGAGGTGACATTGAAATGTCCTTCTATTAGACATACAGTGCAAGTTACTAAAGAGACTAGATGTAACATTTTCAGCATATTGAAAGCAGGATGAGTTGGCAACTGAAGAACCCATGAAATACAAGAATACTTAATTCTCTAGCCCTACAGTTTCAAACAAATCTGAGTTTTAGAGATGAACAACCACCAGTATAAGAACCCAATGTTTTCCAGCAGCTGATCCCCACCAAGTACCACAGTAGTGTAGTTACTTTTGTCTTTGCTAGTTCAACAAACAGTAGAACAGCATTCTGCTAGTTCCAAGTTCTGCTCTAGATGTCTCCTAGAACTATCAAGTTATTCAGCTACAACTAATCTGAAAAAGCATTCACAGTACCTGAAAAGATCAGAATTTGGTAGTATCTTAAGCTCAAGTATAATAAAAGCCTGGTCATCACAATTCAGAATCTATAGCTTGACAGCCTGTAGCAGCTATCTAGAAAAGGCTTGGTGCGTTACAAGTGTCACACCTTCCCTAGAGCTTAAGGAACAGCAGCTTCCCCTGTTCTCGCCCACCATGCAACTGGACAACATACACATAGCCCAGCACAGAAGGCAATTAAAACAATCAATGGTTCTACTTTAACATGTTAGCTTTTCTAGTTAGCCTGTTACTTGCTGGTATCAAAGTAGAAACTGAATCACTGTCACAAGGCATTCTCACACCATAAGTTTCTATCATTCATTTTAAAGTATAAGGCCTGAACCTGCCAACAGAAAAGCCTTACAGCAAAATTTATTAGAAGTTTTAACAAGATGCTTTCATGCTTATCTACAGCAAGGCATGTATTTTTATGCAAATCTTGTAACAAGTGGGATCTATCAAACCCCATGTCCTCAAGAGCCTTGGTAATGTCTTTATAGCTTCTTGCAGGCCTAATCATCCTGCAAACACTCATTACTGAAGTGAGTTGTAGCTAGCAATTAAAAACAATTATGTTAATACTGAGTTTATGCACAAGCTAAACCAAATTTCCTTCTTTGGCCACCACAGATGACCTGAGCTGTAAAATCATTCTGACACAAAAAACAGCTACTAATTTTAGGGAGGTAGGGAAAACTGTTTAACTATGTAGAAATAAATTCTCTTTTCTACTACCCATCATTCGTACACAGGAATTAAGCCTCCACTGAACACAATTAATGAAGGCTGTTGGTTCATGTGCTGATGGCTTCCTCAGAACAATACAAGAGCAAGTGCTGTCTCTCACTTCAGAGTGAATAAGAAAAGGTAGCAGGTGGGCATTCACGTTGGTGACAGAAAACACATCAGTTTCTTATTCCAATTTAGTCTTTACTTTGTTTTCAAAATGTGCCTCTTGCATACATGTTGTTTTGGTAACTGAAATATTTTGCAGAAAACTTTTGTGCAGACAATTTTTACCATGGAGGACATTAATACTTTGGTATAGAATAAATTTCATACTAAGATACAAGGATAGCGTTAAATTTTTCTGATGAGCATTTATTATGTATTTTGGAATTGTGCTGTACACTGCTGTAATTTACAAGCTACATACAAAGCAGAACCAAGATACTGAATCCATACACAAAAGATTTTTAAGGTAGATACCCAGATTTGAATGTGCTCTACATCTTCTGTATCATCACCTGAAATTTACCTGCAAAGAAAAAGCAAATTCAGATCAAAGTATCACCATTAGAGTTGTTTTTCCAAGTAATTTTATGTTAGAAGAAATAGTAAGGAACATTTCAATTTTACAGTTTAATTATAAACATCTAGCCATTATTTAATTTTAGCATTTATATTTAACTCCAGCTGAACAGCTTTTTTTTAATTTAAGTTGGTCCATGTGCCACATCACAACAGTTTTGTCAGTTAAAATTTGTGTAAAGCCTGTGGAAACTTTTAAATCCACCTTAAGCAGCTTGGGCAGTTACAATGAACTTCACTTACTATCTTTCTTAATGACTTCTGTAAAGAAAGAGCATGTACCTAGTTTTGTTTATCCTCACTTGTTGTTCAAAAAACCTTCTGGACATACATCCTTATGCATCTGATGCTTCAAAATGTCAATAAAACTTTTTAGTTTTGCTTTCCATTCAGTATCAAGGAGGTTCAACCTCCGTCAGTATTTTCTAAACATGAAAGCATTTAGTGACAAGCCACATCCTGAAGTTCATACTTGACTCCTATGGCCTAGCAACTTCAAACTAATCCCACCTTGACAAATACTTATACAATAATGAAGTCAGTAAGGGAAGTTATCAAGTGAGCTAATAATTGCATAATCTGAGAACTACTTACATGCAGGCATTGATGAAACTTCAGCTGTTACAATACTCTTTATTCCCAAATTTGATAGGCCTCCTCTGATTAGTCCACAGGTAAATGCTAAATACTAAACAAAGTTGCACTTTAAGTAAGTGTCATGGGTGAAGCTTGTTGTTAAAGATTGAAACTAAGTACTCAAGAACAACACTTAACACTTGGACAATATAAAACTGTGAAGGTTTTGTTACTATGCTTGAGAGATTTCATTATGTCTCTAATACATGAAAGCTTCGATATTTGGTATAGTGGAGCTCACAATACAGATTTCTCTTGTTAAGAGGCACTATCTTGAGTCACTTGTTTCTACTTCCATTAAACCTGTAAGAACTTAGTATCCTTAAAAGAATTATTCCAAAGATTTGGCTGAAATTAGCAACTGGTATTAGTCAACAAAGGAGAAACAGTCCAAGATAGCATTTTTCACATCTTAGAAGGTGAGGGCCTGCAGATACTTAGAATGTATGTTGTAAAACAGAAGAAACATCTCACCAAACACCAGAAAAAATCCCAAGAGCAGTAGCCTGCAACTGTGATGAGAATATAAAGAATTAAGAAACCATAAACCAGAACTGAATGCCTCATTTCTTACATTCACCTGAACCAAAGCACTTCTAAGAGGTTCTGTAGAGGCACTGATTTTACTTACCTAAACTATTACCCTAACTCAGCACCTACAATCAAAACTATTTTTAACTGGTGGAGGATCTTTCTGAATGTTCAAGCTTGTTCTAGGTAACAAATAGCCATCTTTCAAATATATTTTGGAAATTTTAAAAAAAGCTTCTGAAAGCACACACTTTCCAAAGAGAAAGAATCTGTAGCAGACCAGCTCCTACCATCAAGTAATTCAAACACAACAGGAAGTTTCACAATGACTATGACCATTTATCACCATAAATCAAATCCACTGTTCTGAAACAAGGTGCATTTCTAAAAAGCACAGGTTTTGGAGAGTAAACTTCAGCTGCCCTTTTGAAGAATTTGCATCCATTCAATTACAATATATAAAGTTGCTATTATGAATAGATCAAGATAATTCAAACTGGTAGATCCCAAGAATAAAATTGAAGGGTACCTTTGGTGCATGTTCTAAATACTGCTTTCCTGCAGACATTTGTGTCAAGAGACGAAATTTATTGTCTTGAAGGACATAAATACCCTGGGTTTTTTTAAACAAACAAACAGACAAACTTCTTAGTTGAATATGCAGTAACATGTTATCAACATTTTATGTGGTTTTATGTGAAGGGATTTGATTTGTAGATACAATGTAAGTGTTCTCAGGTTGAAAAATTAAATTTTAGATTAAGTAATTTGTGATTTAAGTTTAAACTTACAATTTACTTACATGAAATATCAAAGATACTTAACAGTGAGTTTACAACAAAACCCCTAGACAATAATATAAACAGTTAACCCTAAAAAAAAATATTTGCATTCTTCTTGGAAGAGTCCTTCCAGTGTCAGAAAAAATAGATCCATACAAGAAAGTCTTTGTTGATGTATCAAATGCATGCAGATTTTTACATTAAAATCTTAATTTTCATTTGGTATGCAATTCACTATTCTTATTCTCAAATTCAGTGAGAATTATCTTCTTTAATAGCAATACAGGCAACAACACCCAGCAGATGATCAAATTAAAAGCCTAGTGTTTTCTACATCATAATTTTGTGCCACAATATGCATTTTTATAAATGTAAGTATCAACATAGTATAGATTAATCTACACCTGTCATTTTAATTTATTTGCTAATGACTGTGCTACTTAGGAACATCATAACCCTTGAAATGAAATTAAGGTTGTATATATAATTGAGACCTAAGATCAATACTGCAGCTTTCTTGGAATTCAAAACAAGATTTCTAAGGTAATTATTATCTGTTAAAGTTATTACTTGATAAACAGCTCACTGAAAAAGAAACCTATTTTATTTGGCACAATCCTTGTGCAAATTCTCTTGTTCTTACTTTGATACAACAGGAAAATGGCCATAAGAACACCAAGTCTTTCCAAAAGGAAAAAGACTTTTTTACTCTAGTAAAATGGCTCCTTAAATTATTTTGATCTTGCTTTATGAGCTGTGGCTGCTGATACAGGAAAGAACCTGGTTGGACTAGATGATCTTCAAGTCTTTTTCAACCTAGATGATTCTGTGATTCTGTGACATAAATACAATGCAATGTCACGAACATGCAAATTTGAGAAATTTTTGCAGCTGTTTCTTATAAAAGTACATTCAGTAGAGTGCAGCTAAGTCTCAACTGCTAAAAAAAGTAAAAATTCTTCAAAATTAA